AAGAGCTGCAAAAACAATAAATTTGTACTTCTGTCATTCCTTTTACATTCATTAGCTGGTATTCTTTTGTTTAAAAAAATTTCCTTTTTCTTCTCATGCTACCTCTTTTTTTTTCTGAAGATACCAAGGACTCATGAATTTTTCTTTATTCTGAATGTTGTAATAATCTTTTTCATGTTCAAATTATTCTGAAATTGGCCAGTAGGAGTCCATGTAATCTGGCTCTTGTGTCTTTTGATATAACCCCATTTGTTTTTGAGGGAATCCTTGCTGTATGTCATAACAAATATTCCTGAAAATCCTTCATATTTGTTTATACTTGCTCACTAATCAATTAGTTCTCTACTCTGAGTTCAGGGCAACCACAAAATCAGCTGCTAGAAAGTGAGGAGGACTCCTAGAAAGGAGAAAGCAAGAGAGAAGCAACCGCATAATCTGTGTATAAATGCTCCCCAAATCTTTGGCTGACCCCTAAAAGACACATGCATAGAGTAAACTCTAAGTAGCCCAGCTAAGGATAAATGAACTAAACTGAAATTTGTGCTGCCAACTAAGAGACTTTGCAGTTTGAGTCACATCTTAAAACATTTCAGAAACATAATAAAATATGTTTAACTTGATTTAGCCATTCCACAATGTATACATAATTCAAAACATCATGCTGTACATGATAAATATATACAATTCTCATTTGCAAATTAAAATAAATAATATATAAATAAAATTAAGTAACAAAAGATCTTACACTTAGTCTTTTAGGTTGTATCATTAACTTCCTAGAAAATAAATTTTAAAAGCATTATGCTGCTATAAACCAACTTTTTTTTTGTGAAAGCCAGAGAGAGATTTTGTTTCCTAAGCACATGAGTTTAAAGGCCAATAATAGACAAAAAAAGCCCATCAGGTACAATAAATCACAACAAAAAGCTGGACAACCCACTAGACAACATGGTACACCAACGTGAAAAAAATGATTTTGATACATACCTGAATTACTTCATAAAGATGTATCTGAACACTCCCTAACAAGAGAGGACAATTTTTTATATTGTCGTAGTGCATTAGTTCCAGGTAAATATTATTCCGCTCATCATCATGACGTCTGGGAACCTCCATATCAAAATATATATATGAAAAAAACATTAAACTTTCAGTCTATATTTCAAACCTAATTTCTGAATAAATACATTATAAACTATATTATTTGCGTACCTAATGATTCATTTTTATATGTCATTAGCTTTATAACTTTTCAGCTTCAACAAAAATCAAGATCTTGTTTACGTCTAACATCAATTATAGTCTTTCTGAAACATCAATTGCCTACATTCTTTTTTTATTTAATAACTCTACACAAAAGTTCACCCTCAACACTCTACTGAAACTACATTACCAAAAGTAATCCAATACCCAATATAAAATCCAAATAATCCAGGTAATCAAATGCAGGTTATCTAAATATCCAACATTAAAGGATATCTAATATCCTCTTCAGTCTCTGTTCTTTTAACATTTTGTTAAAATGTATACCATTGCCTAAACTTGACACTCTCAACCCTGAGCTCTGTAGCACAATACATAACAACACAAGGTTATTATGTAACCTTTAAAATTTATGCATTCTTTTGCTAATTAGAAAAAAATCCCATGCTTTCCCACTCCTAAGATTCTAGGTGTCCTTTCATGATGTCTCTTCCCATGGTTGAGATCAGAGTCTGTCTGAGACTTCTTAAGGTATATTTGTAACTGTCTTCCCCTGAGAAATGAGAAAAAGGTAATGCAAACCCTTTGTCCTAGAATAATGGTTAAGAGGACAGGCTCAGTTTTTCAGTAAGTTGGCATCTAGGTTATTAGAACCAGTCTGTCCACTAGAAAACTACAAATGCTGAATAAAATATTAAAAATATCTTCTTAAAAGTATAAGAGGGTTGATAAAACAGTAACAAGTAATCATATAAATATCCAAATATTGGCAGACTCTCAGAGAGAGAAAGTAGACCCTGAAGTTGCATTTGCCCTGAGGGCACTTCCCAATCAAGTGACCTGAAACTGTAGTTTTTTGAGATTTTGAAAGGCACAGAAGACATAGGACATTTAACAGAGGATCCTTGCCCAACCCTCCTCCCACAAACCTAAGAACCCAAAGGACTATGGCTTCAGTAAATGGAGAAACCTTTCTCCCATCCCACCTATATGACAGGCTGCAAAGAAAGCTGCACTGCTAAGCAGAACTGGGGAAGGGGCGTTGGTTAATAAGCTGTAAACAAAAATCTATTCAGTGAAATCAAAGCCTACATTGACATCCACTGGAAGGTATAAAAACTTTCAAGCTAGACTCCAAAAATGATTTGAATGGTAAACTTTATATTATGTATATTTTGCCACAACATACATAAACAAACAAACTTAAATTTAAAAAAACTTTCAAGTAGAATTCAGTTTAAAGTGTTCGCAAACTGGTAGTGGTCTCAGGTGCCTTTGAAGCAAACACAAATTTTCCTCGGAGTTGCTATTTTCATCCTAGACCTCAAAGAAGTTCCACAAATAATTTTCCAAGGAAAATGAGAAGATAACAGCCAAAATTAACTAAGTCAGCAAGGAAACAAGGCACCATGAATGAGAGTCAGCAGAAACAGACCCACACAAACTTCAAATATTAAAATTTTAAAAAGCTATGCTTACTATGTTAAAAGGAATACAAAATAAGCTAAAAATATACTCCTGGAACAGGACACTATAAAAAATGATTTAGCAAACCTGAACAAAGAACCAAACAGAACTTGCGGAAATGAAAACTAATTAAATAAAAATACTCCATGGACTCAACCACAGATTAGATGCAGCTTAAGAGAATTAATGAACTAGAATAAAGATCAGAGGAATTATTTATGATGCAAGGCAGAGAGACAAAGTGATAGGAAAATTTTTTTAAAAAGGTTACAAGACATGGAAAATAGTATAAGAATATCTAACCTATATTAATCAGAATTCCAGGAAAGAAAATAATCATGAAAATGAAGCAGAGAGGCAGTATTTGAAGAAATAATAGCTAAGAATTTTCCAGAACAGATGAACATAAATAATCCAGTTTAAGCAATAAATCTCAACACAATAAATAGAAACCCAAATACAGACACATCGGAGTGAAATTAGAAAAAAGAAAAAAAAATACAACGCACACAGACACACATACACACAGAAAAAGATACATTATTTTCAATGGTGATAGACTGACAAGTGATTTCTCTTCAACAAATATGGAAAGGAGGAGATAGTGGGATGATACTTCAGAAAATAACCGCAAACTTACAATTCTATACTCAATAAAAATACCATTTAAGAATGAAAATAAAATAAAGACATTTTCAGGCAAACAAAAACTAAATATGTCACCAATTGACTCTCATAGGAAGAAATTTTAAAATAAACAGTTTAGACAGAAGGTAAGTGATCTGAGTAGGATGATCTGAGCTGTAAAGGTTAAAGTGGCAAATATGCAGGTGAACAAATACAGAATAAATTAAATAAATACAAATTATAGTTCAGATGATTAAAAAATATAGAAAACATAAGACAACAATGACACATTAGTTGAGGGTGATAAATAGAACTAAAGTTTCTAAGAGCCTTGCTTTGCCCAGGAGGATAAAGGTATTGTTAAACATTGGATTTGATAAGCATGCATGGTATGATTTCTATGATAACCATTTAAAACAAGAAGGGAGAAAAACAGAATTTTAAAATACAGTTGACCCTTGAACAACATGTGTTTGAGCTGCGTGGGTCCACTTATATGCTGATTTTTTTCAATAGAAGTTACCCCAAGTGTGCCTGTATCTCCTACCTCACCTTCAACCTTCTCTACCACTTCTGCCTTTGCCTCCCCTGAGACAGCAAGACCAACCTCTCCTCTTTCTCCTCCTTCTCAGCCTACTCAACAGGAAGACAACAGGATGAAGACCTTGATGATGATCCACTTCCACCTAATGAATAGTAAATATATTTTCTCCTCCTTATAATTTTCTTAATAACATTTTCTTTTCTCTGGTTTATTTTATTATAAAAATATAGTATATAATACATATAACATACAAAATATGTGTTAATCAACTGTTTAAGTTGTCAGCAAGGTTCCAATCAACAGTAGGCTATTAGTAGTTAAGTGTTTTGGAGGAGTCAAAAGTTACAGGTAGATTTTCAACTGTGTAGGGGGTCAATGATCCAACCACTGAGTTGTTCAAGGGTCAACTGTACCCAATCCCAAAGAAAATGAAATGAAGAAAAAAGAAGAAAAATCCGTATCTCGATTGGGAAAAACAAAAAGTTAAACTCAAATCTATTATAATGACATTAAATAGACTAAACGGCATAGTTAAGACACAAAGATTGTCATGTTGGATTTAAAAATCCAATTATATGTAATTTACAAAAGATAGATCTAAAACACAATGTAATTTATATTTTTAAATATAATATTCTATTTCATGTATATTTTCAAATTTTTGGCACAGAGTTATAATATGGTATTCTCTTATAGTTTTGTAGCTGCCTCCATATTTATACCTGTATTCCAAGTTTTGCATAATTTTCTTGATGAGACTTACCCGAATTGTGTCTACTGTATTAGTTTTATCAATGACTACCTCTTGTATTCTTACATTTCTTTAACACTTCCACTGTTATAAATAAATCACTTATTTATTTTATTTTTATTAATTTCTTCCTCCTGCTTTCCTAAGGTTTTACTGTCATTTTCATAGTTTTCAAATTTAGCACTAATTTAGTTTCCAGTTTCTTTTCCCTCCATCCTTCCCTCCTTCTCTCTGGGCTCCTCCCTCTCTCTCTCCTCTCTTCCTTCCCAATACATTTTTGTTTCATTTTTAGTGGTTGCTCTATGGATTATAATATGGATCCTTAACATATCACAATATATCTTAAATTAAAATTAAACCACCATGTACACTAGTATAATTCTATTTACACCTCCTCATCCTTTGTGCTATTCTTGCCATATATTTCACTCCTACATATGACATAAATCCTACCATTTATTGTCTTTATTTTGTTTTAAACACTCAACGGTCTTTTGTAGAAAATATTTAAAACAGTCTTGTATTTTTAGACACAGATTTACCATTTCCAGTGCTCTTACTTCCTATGCATCTGGGCTTCTATCTGGTGTAACTTCTCTCAAATCTGAAGCTTTCTTTGACATTTATTATAATGTAGGTCTTTTAGGTACAAATTCTCACAGCTTTTGTCTTTCACCATCTTCCTTTTCATTTTTATTTTTATTTCAGCATATTATGGGGGTACAAATGTTTAGGTTACATATATTGCCTTTGCCCCACCCAAGTCAGAGCTTCAAGCGTGTCCATCCCCCAGACGGTGTGCACTGCACCCATTAGATATCCCCTCCTCTCTGCTCCCACCTGCCCAACACCCGATGAATGTTACCACTATATGTGCACATATGTGACAATCAGTTAATACCAATCTGATGGTTTCAGCATCTTCTTGATGAATATTTTCAGTAGATACAGAAATTTAGGCTTTTTTTCCCCCCAGCACTTTAAAGATGGCATTCCCTTATCTTCTGACCTCTGTTGTTTCTGATGGAAAGGCAGCTGATATTCTTATTGTTCACATGAATGTAATGTGTTTTTTCCCTCTGGCTGCCTTTAAGATTTTCTCATTATCTTTGGTTTTCAGCAGTTTACATGGGATGTACTTAGGTATAATCATTTCTATAATTATTTGCTAGAGGTTCACTTTCTTGAATCTATGAATTGAAGCCTTTCATCAATTTGGGAAAGGTTGGCCATTAGTTCTTTAAATATTTCCTCTTCTCTCCTTCTGTAAACTGAGTGATAGTGTCCCACCAGTTTATTCCATTTCTTCAATCTTTTTCTCTCTGAGCTTCAATTTGAATAATTCCAATTGACAGGTCTTTCAGTTCACAGATCCTTTCTCCAACTCTGTCCAGAACACTTTTAAGTGCTTCAAATGAATTTATTTCAAATATTGTATTTTTAGATCTAGAATTTTTACTTGGTTCTTTTCAGAGTTTCAATTCTCCTTAAAATTCCCATTCTGACACCCATTTCGTCCACCTTTTCCACTTTGACACATTTATAATAATTATTTTAAAGTTCTTGTCTGCCAATTTGAACACCTGGGTCAACTGTGGGTTTACCTCTATTGACTGTTTTTATTTCCCCATAAGTAGTAATTTTTTATTGTATGATGTACATTATAATGACAGATACTCTGGATTTTTATATCTTGCTCTAAAAAGTATTGAGTTCTTTTCTGGAAGGCAATTAATTACTGGCAGATCATGTTGATCCTATGGAGGCTTGGTGTGAGGATGGGTCTATTTCAGTTTTTGTCCTTGATCCTGGGATTTAACCCTTACCCTTAGAACATGGTCCTTATTCCTAAGTCTTGGCCTTTCTGGGATCTCAACTGAATATTGGGAATATTCATTGAGGTCGCTTCACTTGCACTGAGTCGGACTCTAAGGATTCTGAAATGTCTATTCAGTTTTCAGCCCTCCAGCATCTCTTCTCTGTAGTTTCTTCTAGAGGCTTGCCTTGTACACACACAACTTGGGATTCAGCCAAGAACCTGAGTGGGATACCTACATAGATTTTTCTGGGCTCCTTATCTGCTGTTCCCTCTACACTAGTACCTGCTCTACAGACTCCAGCCCCCCTAAATTGTCATCTCTGTTTCTTCTTCTCAGCCTTTGCTTCTTCCACTCAGCAGGACTGCCACTTTCTGCCTGGATTTCACTTCCCTGTACCAGAAACACTGCCAGACAGAAAGCTATAATAAATGTGAAGCTAACCTCTTGTGCTTCCCTTCTCTTAAGAATTGTAGCCCTCTGCTTTCCATTGTCCAATGCTTGAAAATAGTTCCTTTGTATATTTTTCTCAGTTTCATAGCTGTTCAGCGCAGGAGAATAAATCCAATACCAGCTATTCCAGTATGGCCAGAACCAGAAATCCACTACTATTCATTCTTCAATTTGAGTTTTAACATTACTTACTCAACAGTTTTTTGGAACAATTAAACTAAGTTAAATCCACTTACTATTCCTTTTCAGTTCTTGGTCTGTATGGATTTTTATATTTTTAACCTAGATCTGTGTTGTAAGTTTTAGCAAATTAAAGTCCTAAAGTATATACAATATAATTTTATTGTATCTTAATTATAGAGCACATAGTTTAAAAAGTCAAACAGTACTACAATGGTTAAACAAAGGAACAATTTTCCCCTCCCACCTATATTAATGTTTTTAAAAAAACCTTTTGTGTGTTTTATGATGTTTTGATATCTTAAAAAGCTCTATACGAGAGAGATTTCCCCTCCCAGGGCTAGCCAATTCCTAGAGAAGCAAAGGTTCAGCAGGAAGCACATCATTTGTATGAAAACCAACCAATCTCAAGTCTATAGCTCCAACCGCCTCCTTATCTAACTCTCACACACCAAGTCTGTATTTCCCCTTCCCTAAATTATGCCAGGGCCAGGTATTAGAAAACTAGAGACTACCTCTATAGCCCAAGGCCCCTGGAATTATTCAAATTAGCTAATCCTAAACTGTTTACCCTGCCTTGTTTTTCCCACAGAAACCCCAAAAAGGCTCTGGCCTAGACTCTCCCCTCACTCCTGCCTGCTGACCATCCTGATACTTCTCCTGTGGCCCTTGGCATCGTGTCATGTAACAACTATAAGTAAAAAATTCTTTTTTAAATGGCAGCAGCTTTTCTACATTGTCACTCAGTCATACCTCTATAAATTAAATCCTGGGTATAATTTTAGAATATCACCCTACCCACTCCCTCATTTCCACTCCTCAGAAGCCACATTTTCAAACTTTTCATGGATTTCTCTGGGGTTTGCCTTCATGTTTCAAAGTAACATGCTTATATTATTATTTAGGGGTACAAATGTTTAGGTTAC